CCCAAATATGTTATACTCAGCTTTTAGAAGCTGCCATGATGCTCAGACATAAAGAGACAGTTCATCCTAAAGAAAATTAAATTCTGTGATCACTTACTTACCTTACACTTGTGGAAAACCTGTTTGAGATTTTATTATTTACAAAATAACTTAAAGTTGTAACGATTGACTTCCATAGCATTTTATGGATTTCATTGCTATCAGTTTCCAACATTCTTCAAAATATCTTCTTCAGGTTCAACAGAAAAAAGAATCTCATATTTAAATTCATTCATTCATTTTCTTTTGGGCTTAGTCCCTTTATAAATCAGGGGTCACCACAGCAGAATGAACCACCAACTTATCCAGCAGGTAATACCCTACCAGCTGGAACCCATCACTGGAAAACACCCATACATTCTCATTCACAGTCATACACGTACACTACGGACATTTTAGCTTACCCAATTCACCTGTCTTTGGACTTGTGGGGGAAACGGAATTACCTGGAGGAAACCCATGTGAACGCGGGGAGAACATGCAAACTCCACACAGAAATGCCAACTCTGACCCAGCCGAGGCTCGACCCAGCAAATTTCTTGCTGTGAGGTGAGAGTGCTGCCCACTGCGCCACTACACCCCCCCCCCCTGTACATATACATATATATATATACTATATATATACACAGTTGAAACCAGAAGTTTACTCTAAAAAACACTCTAAAAAAGGAACATAACTATTTTTAAAAAAATGTCTGATGGCAAATCATATAAACATTTACTATTTTAGGTCCTTTGGGATTACCTAAATGATTTACATTTGCTTAATGCCAGAATAATGAGATAATTCGTTTTTGAGAATTTTTTATTAACTTCTAGACAGACAAAAGTTTACATACATTCCTTGATATTTATTTAGCTTTGGTCAAATGTTTTGGGTCTCCTTCCACAAGCTTCTCACAATAGTTTGAAGATATTTTGGCCCATTCCTCCTGACAGAATTGGTGTAACTGAGTCAGATTTGTAGGCTGTCTTGCTCGCACAAGCTTTTTCAACTCTGCCCACAAATTTTCTATAGGATTGACTTCAGGGCTTTGTGATGGCCACTCCAAAACATTTACTCTGTTGTCCTTAAAGCACATTTGAACTATTTTGGCAGTATGCTTAAGGTCATGGTCTGTTTGGAAGACTCATTTGTGGCCAAGTTTTAATTTCCTGGCTGATGTCTTGAGATGTTGCTTCAGTATTTCTCCATAATGTTCTGTCTTCATGATGTCATCTATGCTGTGAAGAGGACCAGTCCCTCCTGCAGCAAAACAGCCCAACAACATGATGCTGCCCTCCATACTTCACAGTTGGGATAGTGTTCCTAGGCTTGTAAGCTTTCTCCTTTGTCCTCCAAATGTAACACTGGTCATTATGGCCAAACATTATCTTAGTTCCATCAGACCACAGGACATGTCTCCAAAAATTATAATTTTTCACAGTGTAATTTAGCAAATTGTAATCTGGCTTTTTTGTTGATTCTGGTTTGTTGATTTTCCCATGTTGTCACACAAGGAAGCAGTGTGTTTGAGGTTTTCCTTAAATACTATTCTGCAGTTGTGCCTCCAATTAACTCAAATGTTGTCAATTAGCCAATCAGAAACTTCCAAAACCTTGACACCCTCATCTGAGCTTTTTCAGAGGCAGAATAATCTTATTGTGTCAGGAAAGAGAATGAGAGGATTCAAGTGCAGGTCAAAAAAAACAATTTTATTAATCTTGCTGACTGGGCAATAACAAAAAACCTCCAGCAGGTGGAGCTGGGGAACCCACAGAGGGATGAAAAATCCAGGCAAAAAATAAAGAAAAAATTAAGAAAACCAAGGATGGCCTCTAGAGGGCAGACGGCAGTCTCAAGCACCAGTAAAAAGGGGTAAAGCAAAAGAAAACTAAATGCAATACCAATCGTCCCAATAGGAGGCGCACGGCAAACCAAGCCGTCACTGGATAGTCAATGCAAAAGAAAAATGAAAGCAAAATAAAACTGCTTCAGCGAGAGGCGCACGGCAATCCAAGCCGTCAGTCAGCAAGGGGTTTATTCTGCGATGCTGGCAACCAGGACGAGAGGGAGCAGGAGGAGAGAAAGTCGGCTGGAGAGGAGATCGCTGGTGGGCGTTAATGCGGAACTGGAGCAGGAAGTGCCGAGAGGTGAGGAGAAACACAGCTGATCTACAGCAGGAACGGTCTGACTGGGGAGAAAGAAAAAGTAAAATCCAAAATCCAAAACAACAGTTAAAGACTGGCACTGGAGCCTAAACAGTAACGAGACGAGACGAGACGAGATCATGAAACAGGATCGTAAGGTAAGACACGCGAACGATAAGGTACAGGAAAGTGAGAACAAGAGGAATAAATAGGGAGACTAATGAAGGAAAACTACAGACAGGTGTGAATGAACTAATGATCTAATGCGTAGAATGACAAGTGGGTGGGGTGAGACAGCAGAGCGCATGGCGATCTGTCAAAATAACGCCATGTGCGCTGAGAAAACAAAACAAATGAATGTGACGACAACATGCAGGTGACAGACCATGACATATTGTATGTAAACTTGACTTTCAAGAACAGTTATAATAATTTCTCAAAATAATATCTCTCTCGGTATTCTACTATTAAGCATAACAGAAACAAATATGATAATCCTAACTTACCGATAAGAGAAAAAGTTTAGTCACATTAACATCTGACTTTTTTTAAATGGTTATGTGCCTTTTTATACAGTGTATGTCCACTTCTGGTTTCAACTATATATATATGTATGAATTTTTAGATTTATTTATTTATTTATTGTTTTTGCAGGTTTCGTCCTCCATATATGGTTTTCCAGTGGTAAGTAATGTAAACCTTTTCATCCTCCCCTCTATAGTAAAAAAATCTCCAGCTTTCTTTTTGCACATCATTCCCTCGTATAAAATTAGGGGTGTGGCTAAAGTTATTGACGTCAAGAGAGAAGGACCGCCATTCCAAACTTAAAAGCAAAGGGTCAGACTTTGATTAAAGTTGATTCCCAAAACAAACATTTTTTCAGTGGATTAACTTGAACGGATTAATTCTTTACCTAAAAAATAACGATGTGCACTTGCAAAATAAACACTGTACATTTTGATTTCACACAGACTTTAGTCTCGAATTCCAAAACGAACAACTGGAAACCAAAATCTTCAACTGGTTTGTTTCTCCGTTATTCATCATATGGTAGTTAAACAGCAAGTTACTTTGTTGTAGTCTGGAAAATGCACTCCAGACTGGAACAAAGCAGGACATGAAATTGTGATGAGGGCATGAAATGAAGAAGGGTCGAGAAACGGGATGTAAATGTGATCTGGTGAACACAAACACAGTTCAGCTTGAGCTCGTAATCTCACCAGCAAACAGCACAATGTGTTTATATCTACTCAAACATGAAGATGCTTAAAATGTTTACAGTGTCAGGGAGGAAAATAGTTTATCATATAATAACTAAGACAGTTTGGAGGGCTGAAAATAAACACACATCTTGTGACAGCAGATCCTGACCTTTACGTGTGTGTCCAGAACATTCTTCATAAAGGCCATGGTGATTATCAGACCCTGCTTTACACGTCTTTCCCCCTATTCCTGGCTCTCTCAGAGGACGTGCTCTAAAGTCCTCTCCAGCTTAGTATATATAACAAAGTATAGATGATACTGGCTACGCCGAATATCAAATGAAAATACAAGTGAAAGAGTTTGCAGATTTGTGTAGTAGTTTGATCACAGTGAAGTTTTTTTAGTTATATTTAGATTTGGTAAAGTGTGGTAACAAAAAAAAAAAAAAAAAGGTATATTTTCAACCTATATTAAAATATATATTTAAAAAATTTTATACTAAAAACAAAAGGATGAGATAGAAGGTGTGCTTAAATTTCATTCATGTTTTGGTTATATATATATATATATATACATACTGCGGCCTCTTATATATACTAGAGAGAAATTTGAGATCTTAAAAAGCTTACACAGCGGCCTCTGGTGGATTCACTCCTGGAATGCACACTGAGCTGAAACAACACAATTCTTGAGATTTCATTGGGACAACTTAATATTTTATGTTCAATCCACATATATTTGTTAAAAGTGTTAAGTTAACTTAATCAATTTGTGTTGTGACAAAATGAATAAATTGTGTGGAACCCTGCATTTTTCACAGTGTATTTGTGGCTCTCCAGAAATGTATATAGTGGTACATTTTTAGAATAAGCCTTGGTTGAAAAAAATGATAATATGGAAGTCAATGTCTGAACCATCATTTACCATGCTTTTTCACATGTTTAAGTATCAATAGACAGATTTCCATGTTAACATGAAGTGAATTTTTTCAAACTTGGCCAAAAATGAAAAATCCAAAATGTAAATTAGGTGTGTTTCCATCATGTTGTCAGAGCTGCTCATTGTATATTAGTAAAGTAACCAATAGCAAGAAATGCAAATAATCATTTATTTATTTTCTTTTCGGCTTAGTCCTTTTATCAATCAAGGTTTACCACAGCGGAATGAACCATCAACTTATTCAGCATATGTTTTATGCAGCAGATGCCCTTCCAGCTGCAACCCAGTACTGGGAAACACCCATACACTCTCATTCACACTCATATACTATGGACAATTTAGCTAACCCAATTCACCCATACAAACATTTATTTGTGAATTAAGAGATTTTTGTTCAGAGTTTTGCATTTCCATCACTCCTTTCCCATGCGATGCTTCAAAATCTGCATCAATACATGTCGATGGAAACCTCATGTGACTCTTGCCAAAAATAAAAATGTGAAAGTTCATCTAAAAAAAAAAGAAAGAAAGGAAGGCCCATATTTTAGTTAGAATAGATTTTTGGCAAACGCTGGTGAGTTTTGGGGCTTAGGAAGTGACTCACTGCACTAAAAAATTACCACATTTCACAACACGATGAATATTGTGAAACATTTCCAGTGCAGACATTACATTTCTTCGGAAATGTGTTAATTTTTTTATTTTTTATTTAAAAGGACCAAAAGGAAAAGCCCAAAACAACAACAAATGAAGCCTCTGGAGTGATAGGACTGACAGATCTTATAGAAATACACACACATGACAAACACAGTGCGTAACAAATAATAGATCAGTGCACAGAAAACACACATTAACGAACAATGACGTACACACATACACACACACACACACACTGAAGCATTTTAAAGCAGCTTTTTTTCAGTCCTGCTGGTGATAGAAACAAGCACTTCTTCTGTCTACATGTGCATTTCTTACAGTTTTTCTGAAACGTTTCCTTCATCCGTTCATCTTCTCTTCTTCTCTGAAGAGTCTGTCTGTGTTCTCTGCATTCATCTGCTCTTGCTCTTTCCGTTGTGTCGTTACTCTGTTTATTCTTCATCTCCGTCTCTCATTGGCTGCTGCATCCACTTCCTCCGCTCTTCTCGCCAGTCGCTGCTTTCTTGCGTCTCTTGTTCAGTAACGGGTTACTGGACGCGTCCAAATCTTTAATCTTCACCTGCTCATAATCTACACGCATGGTGGCCAATGCGCTGGTCAACTCCTCCTGCAAACCAAGAGAAAAAAAGAAGAAGCAAATGAGAAAATAATGTAAAGAGGATAATAAAAATGGTTAAATGAATATAACAATATGTCTATATATAGTAGTGAACATTTGAAGTGGTCCAAAAATGTTTACGAAAATTGTCTACAGCTATTAAACAACACTATTTTTGATTCACACATACAGTTGAAGTCAGAATTATTAGCCCCCTGTTTATTTTTAACCTAATTTCTGTTTAACGGAGAGAAGATTTGTTCAACACATTTCTAAACATAATAGTTTTAATAACCCATTTCTAATAACTGATTTATTTGATCTTTTCGATGATGACAGTAAATAATATTTGACTAGATATTTTTCAAGACACTTCTATACATATAAAGGCTTAACTAGGTTAATTAGGTTAGCTAGGCAGGTTAGGGTAATTAGGCAAGTTATTGTATAATGATGGTTTGTTCTGTAGATCAGGGGTCACCAATCTTGGTCCTGGAGGGCCGGTGTCCCTGCAGGGTTTAGCTCCAACTTGCCTCAACACACCTGCCTGGATGTTTCAAGTATACCTAGCAAGACCTTGATTAGCTTGTTCAGGTGTGTTTGATTAGGGTTGGAGCTAATATCTGCAGGACACCGGCCCCCCAGGGACAAGTTTGGTGACCACTGCTGTAGACTATCAAAAAAATAGCTTAAAGGGGCTAATAATTTTGACCGTAAAATGTTTTTTAAAAAATTAAAAACTGCTCTTATTCTAGCCGAAATAAAACAAATAAGACTTTCTCCAAAAGAAAGATTATTATCAGACATACTGTGAAAATTTCCTTGCTCTGTTAAACATCATTTGGGAAATATTTAAAAAAGAAAAACAAATTCAAACGGGGTTTAATAACTCTGACTTCAACTAGGAGTATATACATTTTTACAACAGTTCTGTCTGGTTATTGAATGTGATTGGCTGACAGCCGTGCAATATTCTGCAATATCAGAACTTGTACAGCCTCTTCAACTTTCTGTATTACTCCGCCCACAGATCAGCAGATCAATAAACTCACTACAGTTTGACAGATGTTGCAGCTGTTGGACAACATAATGCACTTTTGAGACCTTTTTTAGGCCAGAATAATAATAATAATAATAATAATAATCTTAATTTATAAGAATAGTGCCTATTTTAATTATTAATAATGCCAAGATTCAGCACATCAGCAATCATCAGCCTGTCATACTGAGCAGAGCAAAGATAGTTGCACCACAAGATGGCGACAGAGACCACAAAATAAGAAAAAAAACTCTTGAGTTTTCTTTTCGTATTTCAAACTGATACAGCTGATCAAATCCTTATAAAAGAGGTAAGCGACGTTTTAAGGTGATCTCGCTCTTTTGTGTGCGGTAGTGCTGTTTTTATACCATAATAATCTGGTAGTGTTTGCTTTGCTTTGGCTTTTTCGGGGTTTATTATTGTGATATCCCGATTGTAGACTGATGGCATTTAATAATGTTCAGCCTTATAATCTTAAAACTTGAGCAAAATCACCCGTTTTATCATCACTTTAGACACTATCCTAGAGTGTCATCACTCATGTACATGTCATTCATATACTAGAGTGAAAAAAAGTGACTTTTTTTAAGCAAAGGTTTCTGCTGTTCTGACGTCAGCTGCAGATGTGTATGAATGGCGGAAGAAAGTAATTCCTCATACAAAAGGGTTTTTAGACTCTGTGTTTGCTTTTCTTCATATACACGATTATGCTGTTGAACTGTTGTATAAATGCAATATCACACTCGTAGAAGGCGATATGGCTGTACAGTATATCATCACTGGTGGGACACTAAGGCAGTCAGGCTGCAGTCTCGAGCTAACGCATGCCTCCCACCAGTGCTGATATATAGCCATATTGCACTGCCACTCATGTGATATTGCTCATATAAAATATTAAGAGTATATTAGTTATACTAGTAATACATATTTGTAAGAGTATATGTATAATATTTCCCAGTGATGAGAGTAAAACAAAAGCTGGTTCATTCCGCGGTGGCGACCCCAGATTAATAAAGGGATTAAGCTGAAAAGAAAATGAATGAATGAATATGTATAACATATATGATATTCATTAATTATTTATAATTTGACTCAATTAAAATAAATACTATTTAAATTCCATATATATTATACATACTTGTATCATATTTTATATAGCAAGTGTATTAAGACTATTACTAATATATCTTTAAATAGCTTATATAATTATAAATAATAGTAAATGTTTAAATGGCATTTATATTCTAAATACTTGCAATCTTTAAGTGTTGTATGGTTAATAAAAATAAATGAACTTGAAGTCTGTTGTTTTTTTGTTTTGTTTGCATTAATATGAATTTTAATTTACATGTAAATTGACATGTGGTAAAGGTGAATTGGGATGCGGCTGGAAGGGCATCCACTGCGTAAAAACGTGCTGGATAAGTTGGCGGTTCATTCTGCTGTGGCGACCCTGGATTAATATAGGGACAAAGTCGACAAGAAAATGAATGAATGAATGTAAATTGTAATATAAATATTAATGTAATTATTATTAATGCTTTCTTATTATTAATGTTTATATTAAAACTATGTATATTTTAAGTAGATGTAGATAGTTTTATTTCAATATTTTACTCTACATTGAGTCATTTATTGTTTTAAAACTATGTCTATAATGCCAGTACGATGCTACTCTAACTAAAATGAACTGGTTATAACTCTGCTATATGGCTCCCCCTTGAGGATACAGATGATATGACAGATATCTGTGAGCATATAAAAAATGAAAAATAACAGCATGGAATGAAATGGTATTGATGCATTACTCTGGACTGGTACTATAATTTCGCCTTACCTTAACCTCGTCCCACATCTCGCTGTCTTCAGTGAGCACTCGTGAGGTGTGGAGAGGCGTCTGCGGGACCACCATGGATTGCTGAGAGAAAAGAAAAATGTCTCAGTTCTGTAGTATTTGTGTCCACATGTTCTCATGATGCTTCATGTGAACTATAGGAGATTTTTTAAAAACTGGGTGCAATAAGTTGTCATTATTCATTGAATATTAAAAAGGGAACTTGTTAGAATTAACAGATCACTTTAAGTATACCATGAACAACCCCAAGAAGTCTTTACACAGCAATAATAATGATGCATATTGAATATTACTGTACTGCAGGATGTATAATGACAAAATAATGCAAAGAAACAAAACATATTAAACTCAAAAAAGCTTTGTGACTATAATTTCACATTAAAAGCGCAACATTATGACAAATAAATGACAAAGCCAAACATACCTCTCACTCATTTATCACTGTAGTTGTGGATTATTTTTTATTATTTTATTTTATTTATAATTGTTTTCTAATGGAAGTTTCCTAAACTGGACGTACAGCTCATAATTTAAAACAGTTACGTAAAAAGCCGGATAAGCAGATCGGAAAAGCACTTACATTGATCCAGGGGTGGTTCATGAACTGTTCAATGGTCATTCTTTCACTGGGGTCAGTCTTCAGGAGCTGGTGGATCAACTGTTTGGCTGCAGGAGAATATTATACTTTAGTTCATCTTGATCTGTGCTTTAGCCTGCAAGAGCTTTACAGGTATCGAAAGAAATCTGATCTAGATAGTGGATCAGCACTGTAGTGTGAACATGCACAGAACTGAGAAGCACGGCAAGAATATCTGAAGCATTTATCAACTGATACTTGCAACATGTCGTCAACAGTCTGTGCTAATCTGAATGTTCTGTTCAATAAAGTGCACGTCTATAATAATTTTGGGAAATTATTATTTTATTGTTATTATTTTTAGACATAAATGATTATTTTCCCTAACTATAAGCCTGATAAAATTAATAAGAATAATAATAAAATGACAAAAAATAGACAAGAATTGAAAACAGGTTATATACACACCTTTTATACTTAAAATACATTTAAAATATATAAGATTTTTAAAATATTTAGCTTTTCTTTAATTTCTAATTAACCCTTATGTACTGTTGCAGATGTTTTCATCCACTCTGGGGTGATTTTGTGTCTTAATTTGGACGCAACTTTCAGCTAGCAGAAGGATTTTTGGTGACAAATCTTATTTTGACACATATTTTTGAGAAAATGCCTTGTATTAAAAAAAAACAACAGCAACAATACACTCTGGGCACCCCCTTAAATGTGGTTATAATGGAAGTCAATGGGCAAAAACAGACACCAACAGTAAATTAGGGAGTAAAATAAAAATCTAACACTGCATCAAAGCCAATGTTGTTACTAATCGTTCACTTGTCCAAGACTGTGATAGAAGGTAAAAACAAATCCAGTCCACAATTACTTTTTACATTGAAAATAAATCATTTTGTGTGTTTTCCTACCAAATCAGTGATATCATTTGTAAACTTGGCAATTAAAGAGTCCAAATTTAGTTGTTAGCAGCAGGACTGAGGTTGATTATCAGATTCATGCAAAATATCTGTTAAACTGATGCATTTTTACAGCAGTTTAATTCAGTGGATGTTTTCAGTGGATGATCCCTAACAATGGGTAGTACATTTGAACAGTGCACAATGGTTAAATCATATTACTATGATTTCCTCCTATTCTCTAAATCAGAGATGCCCAAAGCTGGCCCACGGTAACCTTTGATTTGGCTGAAAAGAGAGGGAGAATGATGGGAAGGTGGTTGGGGTGAATTCCTTTAACAGAGATTGTGATTTCAAATATAACGTAACCTTTTGGTTCTTTGTTTTATTGTAGAGCTACAAAAAAATCCAAGAGAATTTAAATGTTTCAGTAAATACTGTCACTTAACAGATGGAATGCACAGTCATTGGTGGCAAATCAAGGCAAAGGCTTGACTAGTGTATTCAGCATTTAACTCCATTGTGCTATAAATGGGGTTGTTCTTGTTTTCTAGTTATTTTTTATATTAGCAGACAAATTAGGAAACTACCCATGGTACATTTTATGTAATATAGTTTGGAATAAATACGTATATATTCAATTTGGTATATATGTGGCCCACAGCCCTCAATCAATAATTATATATATATATAT